TGACCTTATCATGAATACACAGTTCTGAATCATAGGTAGAAAAACAGTATAGTACTAATGGAACAGAATACAATACATGAATAACCAATTAATCAAGGGCAATGGTCCTGGTGTTTGGGTTGTGCATGACAACTTCTATAGGACCATCTAAGTCTCCTTTACCTGCACACAGCTGGTTAACCATGCTCACTATCATTTCCATTCCCTCAGGAGTCTGTACATTTAAATTGCTTCCTGGTGGAACTTGAATTATAAACTTCCGCTTTTGTCCACCAACAGAGGCATTTATGTGAATTTCTGTCAGTTGCTGCGCTGGTTTCTGTACTTGTGTGATGGGTAATATATCATAGTTGGAGTCGAGCATGTCCTGAATGTTTTCTTCTTCTGCCAACATTCTTTGTTCATCTTCATCTTCCTCATCGCCTACATCTACATCATTCTCGGACATATTGGCACCAGCCTTTGTCTGGAGACTCTCAATAGTATTAGTTGCCTGACTTACTGCAGCAGCTATGACCTTGTTTACAAGTTCTTCATCCAGTGAATCAGTATCAGGAACTGTTTGTGTAAAGCTTATAGTTCCCTTTGATATGCTTACATCAGTGCCTACTTGTGTCTTGGCTGGATTAACAGAATCCATAGACTTATCGCTGCTCTTCCCAACTATTTCAGGAGGATATTGGTCCTCAAGTTCTTCTTCCTTATCTTCCATGTTCATATCATCAATATCATTAACTTCTTTCTTAATAATTGTGCCCCTGTTTGCAGTGATGTTTTGCGCTTCACCTTCTGTAACAGTTATTTCCATGGCTTTATCATCCCCTTCTTCCTCTTCCTCATCATCATCATCATCGTCATCATCATCCGGAGAACATACGTCTCCATCTCCGCCACCCAATATTTCTTTTGCTTTTTTTTCCTTCTTCTCTTCCATTTCTATTTGTCTGAGCTGTTTCGAAGCCAAGTCCTCATCCAGATCTGGGAATTCGGGCATAGCTCCATCTGCAAGAGGATGAATGTAACGTATGTGATTCTCATAATACTCTCTTTTGCCAAACTTGAACCCACATGTACTACATGCATAGTAAATGGCTTTATCATGATTCTGCAAATGGGCCTTCAGATTTTTCCTGTCAGAAAAATCTCTAGTGCATTTCTGGCATTTGAATGGTTTTTGATTCTTGTGAACCAATCTCTTATGCCTTTCTACATCTCCCTTCCTTGTAAATCTTGCTTCACACTCATCACATGTGTGAGGTTTTTCCCCAGTGTGTGTTTTATAATGCTGCTTCATTGATGATTCTTTAAGCATTTTGAAGCACATATTACACTCCACATACTTATCTCCATCACTGTCAACTCGCTTAAAAAGAGTATTTGCTTTCTTTTTCTGCTTTGATTTTTTTGGATCTTCACCAAATTCATGTAGAGCATCCAATAGTTCCTCTCCTACATCACTTATACTCTCAGCAGCCTCTGACAGAGCTCTCTGAAGTCGATCTAATTCACTCCCATCTTCTTCTTCATCTCTCGGTTCCTGTTTCACCTTTACAGGTACAATGGCCTTACCAGGTTTCCTGCCTCTTCTAGACTTTGGTGTTCTATCCAACCCCGGTTCAAATTTTCTTACAACACCTTTGCCAGTGAAGATCATACGTGGTTTTGCGTATATATTTTCCATTTCTGATGTTACCATTCTTGCCCTCTTACTTACTCTTGATTCACTTTTCGCTCCATCCCACTGGTGCTTTCCTCGTCCAGGTTTCTCAATCTCCTCCTGATCTGAAAAGTACTCTTCAGGTTCTTGCTTAATCTTCAGAGGCTCCAACACAGTCTCATCTTTATTGGACTCCTGTTTACACTTAACTTTCTGGTTAATGAAGACATTGTCCAAAACACACTTTGAGTCCTGTTTTGAACTTTCAGCAATTCGTACATCACCACACATAACCATGTTGTAATGAGCGTTCTCTCTTGATTCTTTCTTTACAACTGAGTTTCCCTCCACAACACCAACCTTCATTTTAACTTCAGGTACTGTTCTATCACATTCTTTCTGAGACTCATCTCCCAAACTATCACATTCTGAAGTAAAACTAATGTTTCTTTTCTTGATATTCTCACTAGTAATGACTACATTTTTCTTCTTCTCAAATTCCCCACTATCACTAGCATAGTCAGGATTCTCACCACTATTACCACTACTTTTATCCTGTACAGTTTTGGAAAAGGCTACCGGTAGTTCAAGTTTGACATTCTTTAAACTTGGTTGTACTGCACCTTTTGGAAATAGATGTTTCTTTGTGGATATCTTCCTTCCAGCAACACTTTCTTCTTTACTATTATCAATTATTACTTTTGTTGTCTTAACTTTGATGCTTACCTTTTTGGCAACTGGTTTGGGACCTTTAAGAGCCTTTATGGGACTCTTTGAAGTCAGTGCCAATGTCTTCTCTCCAGCATCACATTCTTTGCAAGATGGACAATTGCAACCATCTATCTTCCCCTCCCATGTACCTAACATGTGAAGAACGGATATCTTCTTCCGACGTGTTCCTTCACGCACAGACATTTTGATATAATATACAGTACAAAACTTTTTTCTAAACACGGTCTTCCTTCGTTTCCTAAGAAATTCTTCAAATGTTACTCACAAGGTTTTTCTTATTGCTAAATCTTAATTCGATGTCAGATTATCAATATATACGAACAACTGCTTGGATGTGCAATCCTAGTCAGGCTATCACAAGCATGAGAAACCGTCCTTTCCAGCTTGTTCAGCACCTAAGGGATAAAAAGAGAGTTGATATTATTTTTATACAATGGAAATTACATAAAATGATAGTACAGTATTCACTTTAAATAAGATCAACTCTCTTTTCAAACCAATTATTACAATGTTGCTAAGAATCTTATAGCAAAAGGATTCATGGTACCGGGTATAATGCAAAACAAAATTTTTTTATCTATGGCCTACCAATTTTGTGTCAAAACTTTTTTTTATATATCCTGTACACTGTAGTACTGTATATAGGAATCTTGAAGAAAGAGAGGAAATGATATGGGGAAAATGTGAAAGACATGAGAAGAAAATGACAAAATTTACATTTCCAACCATAAAAAAGGATCTATCGAGCACGCATTGTACTACAAAATTGAGGGTACACATCAAGAATTTTTCACCGACATTCTGTAATTGTGAACGACTGTTTATGCAATCACATTAGAACGAGGCACAGTTATACTCCCTTTCTAAGTTCCACCAACTTAACTACTGAAGAAAAACTATGATTGAAAGCTATCAATATAATTTGGTTTTAAGAAACAACATACCTACTTCCCTGTAGAGGAGACCCTAACTGGAAAATATCATGCTCACTTTCTAGTCCAATGATAACAAGAACATTTTGGAAATAATGAAGGTGGTTCATATGACATTTGGATGGATTAAGTGGGAACAGGTAAAGACATATTTGATCAGAACTTAAAAGGGTGAAGATTAATTTATCCTTGTGCACATAAAGGCAAAATTTACAAAACTAGTCCATACAGTTACTTGTACAGTACAGACAGTGTAGCACAAAACTGGGTTCCACCAACTCCTGCAATACACTAGGTCATGCTCGTCTTTTTTTAAAGTAAATAGGAGAAATTAGTGCCATCCAAAGATGCTCAATATTTCAATTTAACATTTGAAATTGTACAGTACTTTATGGATCTATGCTGCTATTGCATCTTTGATATCTTGTGAATCTGTCATTAGAAACCAAATTTATTTTTTTATATGGCTTCCAAGCATCTCAATAATAAATCTTCTAGCACTTGTCCATACATTAAATGTAAGAGGAATGTGCTAACGTGGAAATAATTTTATAAATTAAGAAATGTGCTGGAATGGGTAAAACAGAATTATTACTTCTTCACACATTAAACCTCAGAATCAACAATAAGATGTTTCTTGTCTGAGAAACATGAATCTACCTAAAGAACAGGTGTTAAATGTAAAAACTAACTGTAAAAGATGCTTTTATATAAATATATACTGTGTATAATGTGAAAAAATTCAGAAATATGAACATCCACAGCTTGATTCCCTTTTCAAAACACCCAACACTTCCATTTTTACATCACAACCAACAATTCCTTTATCATTTCCATAAATGATAACATTCCTATTACAGGTATACAGTAAACCCTCGATAACTCGACGTGGATATGGTCTCGGAATGTATTAGTATAACTCGGGAAATACCGGGATTTGCAAAATTATCTGGGAAAATCTTGGCATATCTGGCCACCTGCATCACCTACCATGCCTCTGTGTCACCTACTATGATGCTTCATTCTTCACCTGCAGTGCTGGTAAGCATTACTTTTTTTACATTTAGTAATTACATGTACACATACATGGGTCGATAATTTTTTATTGTTGTATTTTTGTAGGAGGGGGAAGTGCCTTGATAAGTTAACGAGGGTTTACTGTATATACTGTACTTTTTTTAAATTTCTGTGCACACATTTCACATTGCCATTATTTACGTTAACTGAGTAAGATGCGTGAAATCAGCCTGCTGTCAAGGTGATCTACTGGAGGGTCCAGTCAGATGAAATAAATGTCTTTATAGAAAAAATTTAATGCATTTTTGACCTACAGTTCTGTATACTTTATTTTCCAATGAAATATATAGAACAATTTAACTTAATTCAATTTTGTGCAACAATTCTCAGTCCCACTCTCCTGTTAAATTGCAGGTCTAAAGTAGGAATTCTCACGAGACCCTAAGAACTGAAAACAACTTCTTAATTACTGACAGTACATACACATATTACAAATATAAAACCCACCAAGAATGTTTTAGAAAAATAAGCCACTAGTGCACATTTCTCAATATACTCCACCATCAATAATACTCACTAGTGATAATGCCTAATACTACTGTAATAATCAGCCACTTCCCAACATTTTCAGTAAAAGAGAAGGAAAAGTTATTGTTACTCACAGCAGCGTCACTAGTTGGAGAAAGTAGACTACGTGGATGGACTGAACTGCATCAAATGCCACAAACACCCCGATACATCGGAAGAATTTGCTAAGAAGTAACAGCCAAACGTACCTGCAATTAAAATGTGTGCATGACATACTCAATCTAAAAAAAATAATTCAAGTCTAAATTACTGTATAGTAAAGGCTGACAGTGAATTCAATAAAATGGAGTAAACTGAAGAACCCAATATGAAATTTATTGAGGTTAAGTATTACATAAACTAATATAGATGAGATAAATATGTTGGACTGATGATGAAATTCCATCTAATATATAATGAGCAAGGAACCAACAATTTGTGTACTTGCATTAACAAGGCTGCAGGTTTTATTTGAGGGTTCCCAGGAATTATCCACTTAATACAACTGAGTTACACAACAGATATCCAATAACACTAACATTCTAGATACTGTACTGTAGTGTCTTTCCTGGTTCAGGTTCAACTGCAGCTCAGATTTTTTTTTCCCGGGGATTAGCCCACCCAGGCACAGGTCATCGACCCATATGGTTGGTAACACAAGAGAACCAGCTGCCCAAAGGTGACAGTTGAACATATAGCCTGTGACTCCAGCAAGGTATATAACACACCTCAAACTCATGCAATCTACAGTTCCTACAAACAACTCCTCACCCAAAGCATGTTAATTATAAAATTGGATTTCATGACCAACCCTTCACCTATCAAGAGCAATGCAAGACAAACCTAAGTCATGAATTGTGAGAAGTAACACTCCCCTCCCTTCAACTGTGGTCATCAGAGACCTGGTCAATTTTTTTTGGGGAAACTTGTATATAAAAAATTCTGAAAGTGTATGTGTGCTTCATGAACTTCATAATACAGTATGGAAATGTCATTAACATCAGTCTTATTACTTATACGCATCACTTAGAAAAGTACACTTTCTTCTGCAATTGTCATCATTTTAAAGTGATTCAGCTAAGTTCATATTATTTTCTGTTAAATCTAAATATTTTCAAGTACTGATTGATGAATTGTGGTACTTACATCCCTGGCAACGCAACAGCTTAGGTCATGTCACCGAATTAAAATAAAGACTTAAAAGACTAAAATCAAATAATGCAAAGTAAAAAAACATAAGTAATAAATAACAAGAACTTAATACAAGGTTTTGATATCAGATTTCTAGAGAATAAAAAATATTGTAATGAAGAAATTATATACTACCTGGTACTGCATATATATATATATATGTAAGGTCATGAATAATTTCTTACCATGAGATTTTAGTAGAAGGGTAGATAACTCTACTTGCTGACCCATCACTGAAGCCCAGGTTTGAGCTACCTCGCATCCTACTCCACTTTTAGCCTGCAAGAAAATTAAATTTAAATAAATACATAATCCTCTTCCTTGTTAATATAATTATACATTTCATGTCACTGACACTACTACTAAATCCTGGGTTCTTCCAACTCATTTTGAGGGTTATAATTAAGCTGTTACATAACAAAACTTTGTTAACAACAACACAGGTTTATCACCAATAGATGCAGAAACATATTTACTCTTATATTTTATATTGCAATTTAAAATATGTTCCATACAGTCCCTTGCACACCCAATGCCACAAGGGCATTTTACTAGTACATACTTTTAACCCTTTCGCCATTGATCGGCTCGTTAGCCGCTTGGGCGATCGGTCACGTCTGATTACTTTTCCTTTTCATTTATAAGTACTGTGCAGCATTATCATGTATGTTCCAGTATGTTATAGTAAACCGAGTGATTAAATACCAGTATCAAATGTTATTGGAGCTTATTATCATGATAATCGTGACCATTGTTAACCATTCTGTAACAACTAACATAGCCCATTGAAAGTGGTATCACTCGGCCATAGTATGGATGCCCCTATGTTGTCTTTCTAAATCAGTAGGGATGAAATTTAAGGCAAGGGCCTGTTGGTATTATATTATTTGTTTTACAGGCATTAGCACTTGAGGACACAGACTAAACTCTAGAATGGGTTCAAAACCCTTTTCATATCTGTCGCCTCATATTGGCTTAGTTGTGTATCACTCCAGCTCCTGGATGGCGAGTCCATTTTATATTATCTTTGACATTTACTTCCACTTTTATCACTGGAATTGGTCTTTGGGTCCAAACACAGGTAATTTATATACAGAAGTATATACCTGATACAGGTCACCCTTGTTTATGTTGGCTTCACATGATATGGGATTAACATGTAGCTATGTGGTTTACTTTTACAAAAAAAAAAATTGTTTATACTGGGCTCAGGTTCACTTGTATGTGGATGTGCATCACTTTTTTCAGCTTTCCTGAGTGAAGGCATGTCGAAAACTGGTCAAACGAGATCTTGAGCATTCTTCAGTAATGTCTGAGAACAGCACTACCACCAGAAGCTATTTGATTTCCTTCATTTTTCCACACATTCTTTGGATGATAGTAAGTGATAAAAACGATACAACAACGCACAGAACCTAATAGAACACAACCTAACCAACCAAAGAAAACTACCTAACCCTACCTACCGGTAACTTCCTAGCCAGACCAGCTCCGCTCCGGGGACCCCAGGGGTGGATCCAGGAATATCAAAGATGGAAGGGGGGGAGAGAGAGAGAGAGGTTTTATTTTATTCTTGAGGGGCAGGGGGTGCTGTTGCTGCTGTAAACCCCCCCCCCTCAGAATTTTTTCTAAATCTGACCAATATCATGGACATTTTGAGGTCATTTTGAAACTATGTACACTTAATATTAGGAGATAGTCTGAGGTCAATACTCAATAGTAATTACTTTTTACTATACAAAAACACCTGAGTACAATACTGCATTAAAGAAAAAGTATTGTTATTTTCTGATGAAAAGCGGGGTCCAGAGCCTCCGGACTCCCCCTGGATCCGCCCTTGGACCCCTGCCATATTAAACAGAAAGTACGTATTTTGATATCTAGTACCAATGAAAGCATTTTTTGTTGAAGCGTCATGGTGTAATTTTAAATTTTTTTGTAGATGTAAGATTACACTCGGACTATGCAGGTCAGTTGTAAACAAACCAGACGACACGCAGTGACTCAGCAAATTTTTCAGAGTATTTACGGTAGTAGGCAACTATCAAACAAGGAAGTACTACCACCTGGGAAGATATTGGAAGCATTATGTGTTGTCTAATGGTAGACCCTGCTGCCAAATGGCATCACGAAAATTGTGACCAAGTTCCAGGTTGCTGATCCAACTTTCTTCCTCATTTACACTCAATTGCAGGGTTTCAATTGTTTCTCTTACTTTGACAACACAGTATGTAGATCATTTCTCACTCTTGGTCTTTCTTTTTTTTATGGTTCTTTATTATTAGTATTTAATAATTCAATTTGTATTTTCGTATTTTTTATAAAATTTATTGTGAACTTTTTACATTATTATTATTAATCTAATATTCGTATATTCCCCCGAGGCCCCGATGTGGGTCAGTGACCTTGTGGTTATCAGCATATACCTAGATCACGCACACCTACAGTGATTTACTTATATATACATATATATATATATATATATATATATATATATATATATATATATATATATATATATATATATATATATATATATATATATATATATATATATATCATAAAATTAACGTACATAACCAAACCTTAATCAAACAATAACGTTAACGTGAAACTCAAGTTTGTTAGGTTAGGTAGGTTAGTTTGTAACATTTTATGAATAAATAATATAATGTAGTAGTACAGTACTGTATATGATAGCCAAATGTCAACAACAGTGCTCATAATTTTATGCCCGTCAATACAAGATTGGCAAAAAAAAATTGTGTAAGAAACCGCCCAGCCGGGAGAGAAGCAGAGAGGGTGTCACAGCTGCTGCAGAAGGTGGAGGAAACATCCATCAATTGTATTCACGAGAAAGAAATTATAAAAAATTTATTACACAAAACATTTAACACACTGATTTCATGAGGTAAAAAGCATTAAAGTTCTTTGGTGAGATGTCTAGCAACAGGTAATTAAGGCACATAACTAATCTGGACTAAAACTTTTTCGTAAATTTATCATTTCACTTTTTTATCAGTTTACTTGTCATTTGGGCAGTTGATTTGTTCGTTGTTAATTTGTTAAGTTTTAGTGTCCAGTGTGGCATTAACTTCCTCACATTTTTTAACGTCTCTGCCACACTTAATTATTACGTGTACACAAACTGCTGTACTGTACATTTTGTACTTCGCGTTCATAGTCGTCAACACCCTTAATCAGCCATAAACATAAAAGCAGTAAAGAATAACTGCCACTAACTTGGCCAGGATGACCTCAACACTGCAAGTCTAAAAAGAAACGAAGCTTAAAACACAGCAGAAGAAGCCATTACAGACCCACATAACACTAACTGATACATATATAACACTGAAACTTAGACGTACTAGCTCTTAACATACATCTAGCAGTTTTAAACACACATGATGCGCAGTCACCACTTTCCTCACAATACTCTGGGTACCACAACAAACATGGCGGTCCTGCGCAATGATCATTCATATAGCCTTTAAATAACTCCATCAGGAACAATACAAAGGAGATTAAATAACAGGTGTTTATAAATAACACCGATTGTTCTACCTGTTGAGATGATAACCGGCACGTAAACCTCAAAAAATGGGAATATTGGAGACGCTTCCCTGCAACTTGTCTGTGGCGTCCATAGGAGTGACTGTATGACACGAGCCATCAAGCAAAACAATTCCAATAATTTATTTTTCATATGGTAAACATGAAATAAAATAAGGGTAAAAATAATAAGATTTAATATTCAAATAAATTTTATATTATTATTATACAGTGGATTTTATAATTATATTTTAGTTAATGTCTATAAAGCTTTTCACTCGTACAAATTTTGCCGCCATTAGCTCGACGCTGCAGGACAATACGATGTTTGTTATTATTTTCCTTATTGTCATAACGACCTCTTTTCTGGCATTTTACTTTTATAATGGTTGCGTGTGATCATGTTATAAGGGATATTTATAAATCTATAGAGGATTTATCATGATTGTGTCTGATACTGTGGATAATTTCGCATGTTGTGAAGGATCAGCTGATTCAGGGATCAAATATCTAAATTTTTGGTTAAATATCCCTCTTTTAATACAATTATCCTTCAAAGCAATTTAATAATTGATTGATAAATATCAAACTTTAAAATTTCATAAATCCAATGTTTTTTAAATTGTTGAAAAAAAATCTCATTGTAAGGCTGCGTTTACATTTAAGAATTTAAGTTTTCTATATCCATTGTACCTGGACCATAATAGTCTATCAACAAGCTGAACCAACTGTAAACTTTTATGTCGGTTCCACTAAATATCTGTCGGTATAGTATCTTGAGACTTGACTCAGTAACTCAAGAGAGTTCCGGAGTTCGGCAGTTTCGGCTAAACTCTTTACTTTATCTTATGATCGGCTTGTTAACCGCTTTGGCGGGTCGTTCACGTCTGTTGTTACGCACCCTTTACAAGTACTGAGCACGCCGCACGTACTGGCTTCAGAATGTATCTTTTTCTGCGCCAGTGTTGGTCAAGTCTTGAATGAGCTTACACTCGGTGCCGCCAGTCCCGTCACAACACGAGAGTCTGGCTCTGCTGGCAGATTGTTTCAAGAGTTCACAACTCTAAAAAAAAGAATTGTCCTGACACTTTTCTGAACTTGTGGCCCCTTGGTGGGGTGGGCATCAGCTAGTTCCAGGTATGAACACTCGGCTGAGCAATGTCCAGACTCCTGAGGTGTACTGTATATGAGCCAAAGTGTGTAACCAACCATTTCGCGAAATGGCTGTTTCACTTGGCCATTTCTTGAAACTTAAATCTTCAGTCATTGCGTGGAATGGCTGAAATTCTACCTTTGTCATTTCATGAAATGGCTAAAATGACTTTCGTGTGTATCAAAACAAGTTATAATTGTTTGAAGTGGTCGTTAGCACTTCACCAGGTAAAAGTTGGGTGTGACAGTCACAAACTGCTTTGTTCACCAAACGCCATTGGGTGGGTATAAAAGGAAGGTGATTTTAATCGTTGATCGGCCGAAATAGCCCAAAGGCGAAATGGCCAGCAATCCCCAATACAAGTACAATCGTTGATCAGTTGTCTGCTGCCTTTGGTACAGTACAGAATGGCTCAGGGTAACTTTGAAGCTTTACTGTGATATTTATTTCTGTGAATTCATTCCATGCTGCATGTGACATCAAACAAACCTACATCACACGAAAGTCATATTAGCCATTTCATGCAATGGCTGAAAATTTTGGGCGTTTCAAGAAATGATCAAGTGAAACAGCCATTTCGCGAAATGACAAAAAATTCCAGTCATTACGCGAAATTGGTTACACACTTTGACTGTAACATATATAGCCTTCTATTAAGTTACCTCTTGCCTGCCGATAGTATAAGCTAGGCAACTGTATGCGTTCTTATCTCTCTGGGTACAGTACCATAGGTGCCATAGTACTGACTGGTTGACCTTTAGACGTTTTCAATCACCAGACGGTGTGACAACTCCGAAAATGGGGAAGCACCTTTCTTTTGAAGAGCGTTATGAGGGGCGGAGTCCTTCTCTATAGTTATGTGAACGCCCATCTTAGCATTTAACAATGTGTATCTCCTTGTCTAGCTTTACACCAATTAGCAAGTTCATTATTTACGAACACTGCAGCTTCCTGGTGACAGTACTGAAGACTTTGTTTTGGATTATAGGAGAAGAGAACCTCCATCTTTAATATGAATTTATTCTCAAGACATTTTAAATTCATTGTGTCTTACTTTACCATCTTTTGTTTTACAATCTATAAAACAGATGTGAAAACTTTTTGGGGTTATTAAAATGTTTTGTTTATGAGACCTTTCGCCTCAGAATTATCGTTCAAGGGAAAGCTGGGACCATTTTCCGATAACTCTTCCGAGCTACATCCTGCAATATTATACTATATGAATTATATTTGATAATTCTGGTTACTTGTTGTGACAAGTTTCTTGTCAATAACGTCACGATGTCGAAGATTTCTAGCTTTTCGTGTGTGTGTGTGTGCGTGTTCATTATTATATAACTGTTTGTCCATTAGTAGCTTGTTTCTTCCAGGTCAGTAGGAAATTACTTGACCATAAAACACATAATAAAAGAGAATATCACTGTGCTTTCTAATTCATGATGGTTGCTCCTGGTCACCGCTCATCGATAATCAAGTACTGCCACTGGCCCCATGTAAGACACAGGAAACCTCACAACTTACATAGATTATTTTTAAACATGAAGGACGTTGTCTTATACGAGTAACCACTCCCCCGGAAATCGCTTGATTTTGGTTTGGATAATATCTTTTGTTTGTAATTCATACACTGAGAATAAAAACAGTGTAACTGTAAATAGTGTACAGCTGTTCATTTATTACGTTCTAGAACACTCTTGATGCACTTAACCATGAAGTAACCGTATACTGTAATTGGTTTGATTTGGTTAAGGTCATGTCAGGTCAAGTTAAGTTAAGATTATGTTAAAGTTACATTGATACCGTTATGTTTGGTAAATGTCATGTTAAGTTGATGTTATCTCCTGTTTATGTGAGGTTAATATTCTGCTAGATTAAGGCTACGTCAGATAAAGCTAGGTTAAGGTTAGGTTAGGCAAATGTCAAGTTAAGTTCATACAGTATTAAGTTTTATTAAGCTAGTGATATATTAGGTAAAATGTTGAGGCTTTAAGGTCAGGTAAGGTTAAGTTAATGTCACGTTAGGTAAAGGGTTGAAGGTTAGGTTAATTGTCTTAGCTTAATATGACTTCAGGTTAATATTATGTTAGGTTAAGGTTGTTTGTGTAAGTTTATGTTTGGTTAATATTTTATGGAGTAAATATCCTTTATGAAATACGTAGATTATGTTGATCGTGCCATTTTGATATTATTCCTAGTCGATATTAAAGCGAGGTCATTGAGTATAAAAGAATATTGTTCTATGATACACTTGGTTGTTCAAGCTGGGACTTATTTCAACCCAACAGAGCGAGGGTTGGTGGCCTTCGAGCGGGTAAGACGAGCCCATCACATCCCAGTAGAGAAGTGAAGGTCGACATATATAAAGAACTCTCATCTCTTCTCTAGTATATTGACTTATTTAAATTTACTGACATTATTAAAGTAATATTTATACAGTAGGTTACAAGCAAAGCGTTTTCACATTCAATTAAAGGGGGATTTTGTTTTTTCCTAATAGATAAAATTATTTCCCTATTGATCTTAACACAGCTGCTATCAAGATACAATATTTATGGTTTTCTTTTACTACCACTACAGTAATTATGAACTCGTGATGACCTTGGGCGACTTGGAGAATCACCAAGCAAGTTCTCAGGCCATGTGAATCGGGCAATGGAAATGTCACTTCCCGGTCATGTTAAAGGAGCAGTGTGTACTGTACGTATCCTGCCCAGAGTAGAATGATTACACACACACGGAACTGGTGACCACAAAGACCTCCATTGCCAGGTTACAGTAAAAACAAGCCGGAAGTTCACTGTGAAGTGTGAAGTGCGGCAGATTGAGCTACCGGAAAATCTTTTTTATCAAAATGCTGCGATATAGTTCAACTTCATCCGTTGAACATTAATAACTACAATAACTACTTTGTACAGTAATCTGTTCAGTACATCCAATTGATCTATATAAGAACAGGGATTAGGAACTTGGCACACACAATTCGGGAAAGTAATTTTGTGAGTTTTTGAAAGGCATCTTGTTCGTACTGTTTTATAATCTATTTTAATTATTGCAGGAGAAGCTTAGAAATGTTAAATCATTATTTTTCGGGTACGTTATCGCTTTTACTTTTTCCTACTTAACATTTGTTTGCTGGCCCCTGAACTTAAAATCGTTTAGTCTTGTTGCCCTTCATGTACAATCCCTGAGGGTTGTATACCTAGTACCTACTTGTGTTTACAGTTTATCCTATTATTTTAAAGTTTATAGAGCAACTCTCTCTCCCTGCCAATTATTTATCAGGATTATCAGCATAAAAGTTGAAATGAAAATGAGTTATGCTGTATAACATGGGAACGGGAATTTTGAAGAAACTAAAATATTTCAACGAGAAGTGTTGAGTTGGCAGTCGTTGGATAATCGTCTCGCTTTCTCATTTTCTCTCCCTCAGTTTCACTCTTTCGCGCGAGCAACGATGACTTCACTGCAGTTCTAATTACTGGTACCACGTACTACTACTTATACAAATATTTACATAACTGTTAGTGTTACGTGACTACTGACTTCTGTAACAGAAGTTCTGTTACGCTACTACCACAACTACATTGTGTACTATTATACATACACTGTGTGTGTGTGTGTAGATTGATTGAGAGGACAAAAACAAAAATAAACAAACGTACCACTAAGCGGTTTGTGAGGTAGCTTACTGGGTCTTGTGCTAAAATTCCACACACATTTCGGGGTCTAAAAAATAGGCACACTGACAGATAAACGTACTTACCCACTCACACATGTACGTTGATACCTGTACTCACCATACACACACACACACACACACATACTGTATATATATATATATATATATATATATATATATATATATATATATATATATATATATATATATATATATATATATATATACAGATCTGAAAACGTGGATAGATAAATCTTGATAAAATCACACGTGAAAAGGGAAACAACGGAGCACTTTAGCTTTCGTCTTTATTCAAGACATCTTCAGAGGCGAAAGCTAAGGTGCTCCTTTGTTTCCCTTTTCCCGTGTGATTTTATCAATATATATATATATATATATATATATATATATATATATATATATATATATATATATATATATATATAATATATATATATATATATATATATATATATATATATATATATATATATATATATATATGTGTGTGTGTGTGTGTGTGTGTGTGTGTGTGTGTGTGTGTGTGTGTTTATATGTGTGAACAAAAACAAACAAGCCCACTTGGACGTAAACACATATTGTATATACATACTGTACAAACACATGCACTCGACTGAGGTTTTCAGGACAATATTGAAGATACTAGATAAAATATTACTGGGACAATGACGATAACATTAACTATATCTCCCTCTTACACAGTACAATACTCTTATTAATAAACTGCTAATCAACAGTTATGTGAAATACTATGATATTATACATGTAGCCTTAATGCTGTATATCATCTCTGGGGGCTTTTAATTCAGTTCCAGTTTTAATTGCCGAATAAATCATAAAGGGAACAGGGAATTTAGGTCAATATAGGTGTAGTGTCAGAAGCATCCGATTGGTGTTATATACAGTATAAACAACACGGAGGAACTGTCAAGGATATACTGTACTCACGGAACATCTGACAGAGGGCCGTGGAGTGGTGGTCCTGCAGTCAAGAGTGAAGTGCTTCCCCATCTGGAGTACTGTCACCCCGTCTGGTCCCCGAGATATGCTAGGGACTGTCAATTGGTTGAAAATGTTCAAAGGAGGGCCACCAGACTGGTGCCTGCCCTTCGGCACCTCAGCTACCATGAGAGATTGGAGTGCATGAACTTGCCTAGCTTATACTACAGACGGGCAAAGGGTGACCTAATAGAGGTGTATAAGCATCTCAAGGGGCACTACTCAGTCGAGTATCCTTACTTGGAGCTGGCGGACGCTCGCCCCACAAGGGGTCACAGCTCAAGATTGAAGAAGTCGCAAGTCCAGAAAACTGTGAGGGCAAACTTTTTCGGAGTGAGAGTTGTGAACTCTTGGAACAATCTACCAGAAAGTGTTGTGATGGCACCGACTGTGAGCTCTTTCAAGACAAGACTTGACCAACACTGGAGCGGGTTCAGGTACATTCAGGAGCCGGTGCATGCCCAGCACTTGCCAACAGTGCGTAACAGAGACGTGACCGATCGCCCAAGCGGCTAACGAGCTGATCTTTTGGTGAAGAGGATAAAAGAAAAGGAAAAGTAATCAGACGTGACCGATCGCCCAAGCGGTTAACGAGCCGATCAGTGGTGAAGAGGATAAAGGGATCTCAGGAGATAGTGGACGAGGGTGCGGCTGTATTCTCTTAATATGGCACACTTTAGTGAATGTCCTATGTGAACCAAGATTACTTAATACAAATCCTAAAACACCTGAGAAACATATCTAATTAATTTGTTCATCTCTTATACACGCAAAGTATACGTGGAGGAAAATAAGAGCAACACTTGTAGAATACGCCTTTACTATACGCGGAAATAGATTATGCTATTTTCAGGGGTAAGGGAAGAAATTCACGGGAAACTCAGACTGTATACCACGATTCTCCAACTTCTAACAAAATTCTGGAATTTTCCTGTAGGCTAAAGGAGAGAATGAGTATATGAGTAAGTGGATAAGAAGAATGGGGGGAGGAAAGTGAAGAGAAAGAAGAGGAGGAAGATAAGAAAAAAAATAGAGGGTCACGAAAGGAAAGGGAAAGAACGGTGGATCAAAAGGAGGCAACGGAGAAGTCACAAGGGTTAAGATAAACGGAATGATCGCAAGAAGAATAAATAAGTAAACTTAGAAGGAAAAGAGAAGGAAGTGAATGAGGGGCGGCAAGCAACAACCTGAACCCTACACCCACGTCAAGTTCAATTACCAAAATAGTGACATTTATTGTATGTTTATTTTTTTTCACCTCTACCAAGGTGGAAATTATGTATCTTTTGTTTGCTATTTTGGCGACTGTATGTGTCATGGCCAGTTTTGATGTCAAGTTAATGTTCGAAATAAGGCAAACAGAATATTGGGTTTTATATCTAGAAGTGTAAGTAACAAGAGTGCAGAGGTCTTATTGCAACTATATCTTGCGCTAGTTAGGCCGCACCTCGATTATGCGGTTCAGTTCTGGTGCCCCTATTATAGAATGGATATAAATTCACTGGAGTCGGTGCAGCGAAGAATGACAAAAATGATTCAGGGACTTAGAAACCTTCCATATCAGGATAGGTTAAAGAAACTTAACTTGCATTCCCTAGAAAGACGAAGAGTGCGGGGAGATATGATAGAAGTATTTAAGTGGGTGAAAGGAATCAATAAAGGGGATATAGATAAAGTTCTTATAATATCCGAGCAGGATAGGACTCGGAGCAACGGATTCAAGTTGGATAAGTTTAGGTTTAGGAGGGAGATAGGAAGAAACTGGTTCACAAATAGGGTGGTGGACGAGTGGAACAAGCTTAGCAACTTTGTAGTAAGTGCGGGAACTCTGGAAAGTTTCAAAAGGAGGCTAGATAGATTCATGGATGATAGAGAGTGGTAGTAACTCTCGACAGGAGCTGCCATGCACAGGCCAACCGGCCTATTGCAGACTCCTTATTTTCTTATGTTCTTATGTTCTTATGTACTCACTAACAATTACCCGAATAAAACGACAAGAATTTGTGTCAAATCTGTCGAGTGTAGACAGTCTATTTGGGATCATTGACCATGTAAAAAGACTATTCATGCTAGTTTCATGGACTTCTCTAGCTGGCAGCCAAGGACTGTTAGTTCTTATTAAATAAATCTTAGTCAGATAGATGGCCAAACAACTCACAACTCTCGCACGATAACCAAATATCACAGTTAACCGAGCAATCACCAACTTCTTTATTATATTTACAGGAAGGAGCAGTTTTGTCCTCAAACATAAACTCACTAAATTTTTTATGTAGATTTTATCCCCAGCTTATTAAGAGTAACTTTCAAACTCGATAAAATTATTCAAGGAATTGATACCCTGGCACTTACAGTCCTCTTTTGTTTATTATTTAGTGGTACATACACTGGAAAATTTAAGAACTTAATGTGTAGGGTATACGAACAAGGGAACGATCGTTTAGCGCAGTGGTCGTAGTTCGCAGGTGCCATGGCACCTGTGGAACCATATTATGGACCCCGCAAGGGTTTATTAAATTGTCAATAAATGTTGAATTTGAAGGGTTTATTAGATCTTGTTTTAAATATTTGGGAATCTTTGTCAGAGTGAAAATAATGAAAATATATAACACCTTGATACGACTTTTTAGTTCGAGAGAGAGAAGTGAAGGCTATCAGGAACAACACTCATTCATTCCCTTTCCGCACCAGTCTCCTCCTAGACACGGAGCTGTGTATAATAAGAGTTTCGCCTCACGAAATCAGGAAAACCACCGATCTCCAGAAATGTACAGTCAGTTGAGTTCCTGTGTTCCTTTAGTGGTCGTAATTGAGATAATTATAACGTCATTGAATTTGCTGTTGGTCTAATTAGTTATATATTTTTGGAATTTTGAATACATATGCTTGTGTTTCTTTTGTTATTTTACATTGTTTCCTTTTCTGTAGATTACTATGATGATGGTAACTGAGATAACCGAAACCTTAGCAAAGGAATAAGAATCAGTGTTAAGATGTTAAAATCGTTATCCTAGTCTTGATATTACTATAGACTATTAAACGACGCTTTGAAATTGATGTCATCATCGCTGATATAACCAAGATAAGGTGTAAATCAATTTTGTTGGTACCACGTTAAGGATCTTCTGGTATCACTCTTTGAATGGCGCTGAAATACAGTAAATTCACTAGTTCAGCATGTGCTGGCATAGCATAGATGTGGTAAGCAGTAAGACGTGTAGATCTTCAATAACGTAATGGACACAATTGATATTGAATCGGGGGAACTATTTTTTATAGTAGATCTGAAGACTTAAGATTCTGTAATTGTACACATCTGGTCCTGCTCAATGTTTGTCCAATTTCCTCTCGAAGGTTAACACATGTTGAGACGAGACCACCGGTTAAACTAGCTGTATAATGTCTCCACAACACGTATATCAAGGGGTTATGTTTCGTGTTATGTTTCAGTCTGGTCTCTACACGCATCTTGAACACCTTTAGACCATGAGCTCTGGTTCTTTAGCTAATTATGTACTATGACGATTTATAAGTTTACATTTATTTCTTGCAAATGGATGAAGTTCTGGACAGATAGTCCCTTTTATTTAAAAAAAAATATGCACAGGTGGCAAATCCAGTATAAAAGAACATGCAATCAAGTACAATTTGAAAGGAATACAAAATTTATTCAGTTAGCACCTAATATTGTGGGTAACGTTACCCATACTAAATTATCGGTTGCGACATGCTGTGTCAGTAGATGTGGCGAGAAGTCCCTCGTTGTTATCGCAATACACTATATTGTACTGTAATTTGTAGGAGACTGAGGAGCAGGGTGTGGTGAACACATTATGTATATAAGAAGTGCAAAGAAACTATGGGGATGTGGAACGAAGGTGTTGGTGTGACCAACAGAATAAGATTTACATGATATACAGGAAGCGGTAATCTTTCAATAATAATCTGTATCCTACAGAAAGAAACAGTGTATACGTGTAGAGTATACTGTGGTGTAGTGGGTGTGCCGGTGTGACCACCACCAGTATGACATTTATATCATCTATACGATAAATAACAAATTTACTAATAAACTAGCTTATAATATGAAGAGAATGAGTGAGCGCGGAGGGGTGCGAGAGTCTACTGGAGTATAGTGTAGTGGGGTAGTGTGGAGGGTGCCGCCATCTATTGAGCGCGTGGTGCACTACACAATGGCTCTTAGAGGGACGACCGCATTGAGACTGCCACCACCGCGCGACAGCCATATTGGACACTGCCGGTACACACCTCTCGCTTCTCTCTTACTTTTGACGAGGTTTTTGACTAAACAAGAGTGAATTATTACTGGGAAATAATAAACGAGGCATTTAGGAAGACCTGTAAAGCAAGATCGCACTCAGGAATGTTATAGGTAGGTGGTGAGACAGTGATATTTGGAGCGGGTGAAATTGCTGTGTTCATCAGAAGAGGTACGGTCGGCTCGAGACTTGTTGGTTATTTAAGTCGCCTTCCTCTCCAAAGTAAACCATTTATTGCGTTAGATATGTAGCAGGAAAGAGTGAAACTCATATATTATCATTACTATTACGTAAGATTCTTCACATATGCAGAAGAACACGAAATTCAAGGTCATTTGCTTATGCCAATAGTGTTATTGTTTTTATTCTTCCTTAGGATAGACTTTTGTTATGTGCACGGTCAACCTGCTGATCTTTGCCTGCCTGGTGCCTTTAGACGTAATTTCTCAAACAGGTAAGAGTAGGTAGTGCAGTAGATACTTAACAATTGGCTTGCTAACCAAAGGCACTGTAGCTATAGGTGTAGGGGCCTGGGTGAAAATTGGGGGGATAATTTATGAAAGACTTGTGCCTCTATTAGGCTTCTTATTTCTAATATTTTGTTATGAATTTCCCGTCACTATGCTAAAATTATGGTTGCAGTTAAAAAATTGTAGAGTTAAATAATCAATGACAGCAGAGCTGTATGAATACCTTGGCAGCAGTGTCTCATGTAAAATGCTCTAACACTGCTACACACACTCAAGCTTGTGCTCAGACTTGTCTGGATAAACAAAGTTTGTACTGACAAGACTGAAGGTGTAGTGGAGATTTGTAGACTGCTGGCCATTTCCTATGTTTGTAAATCAGGTGCTGCCAGAAATGATGTCTGCACAAACAAACAGACCAGTTGCTTAGTTTTCAGTAGTAACAGTAGCATCATCACGTAACAATGTGTATTCTGTAATTATTTCAAATACTAATTCATAACGGAGTTAACTAAAGTCTACCACAAAGTGAAGATTGCCTTAGAAAAATAAAAAAATGGCAGTGTATTTCATTTACATTACAGTATAGTTATATACAGTATATGTACAGTATTGTACATATATACATTTGTATATTTGTCATTTTCTCTAATTTTCATTTCTATGTCGCTACAATGTTCATTTATACAACATATTACTAATATCACAAAGTAAAAGTTGAAAATACACATTGGGTTTTATTTAAAATTGCTAGAGTAGTATGTTATTATAGTCTGTATTGGAAATTGGCAACCCTTGAAGGCAACAGCTAGTTCCCACCAATTATCATTAACATCTGCAGTACATAAGAACATAAGAATGGAGGAAACTGCAGTAGGCCTGTTGGCCCATACTAGGCAGTGGCAGTAGTAGTGGCAATGAATAATTTATGCAATTTTTCCCCAAAAAATTATTTTAGAATATATCAAATTTTACCATAATAACCTATTATTATGGAAAATGAAGCGGCTAATACAGTACAGTATATAGAAAACACCAGCTCCTCGACCCAGCAACAATACATGTTTTTTATTTTTAATTATTATTATTAGTAGTAGGGGTTATTTGACCGGTATCTAAAATAAAACTAAATACGTCTAGCCACAAAAAAATTACATATTTTATTGATAATTTCAAACCAGTATTAGAAAAAAATCAATCAAATAAAATTCGTACATGCAAAATTAAGGGCACTGTACCTGTACAAGGAAGATAAAATCAGATTAAATTCTAAATAAATTCTTTAAAAACTAGCACTTCAATGTTTAACAGCTATGCTGTTGTTTAGGTATCTGGTGTAGACCTAAAAAAATTTAATCTAATCTAACCTACATTATATATGTCCATGAGAGAAATGGGACATCTCGGAGTATCAAAAGACGATTAAAGAAGATGGTGGTAAAACATTCAACTGTTAAATAAGTGTATAATGGCTAATGTTTTGCCCACATCCATCCTAACCAGAATCCCATTAAAATTGAACACAATCCCTGTGGGTCCTGGTCAAATAGCCGATGGTTATTCGGCTGGAAATCCCAGTCAAAAAACCACTTAATAAGATTAATCAAGAATAATCATGGAAACTACCAGAAAGCACTGAAAAACAAACTGGGTAATTGTCTAAAATGACTACTATCACTGATAATAAAGTTTTGTCGTTAGGGTTTTCACCATTATGCGTACAGTATTTTAATGTAGAGTCATTGAAGTCACCACAGGGTTTTCACCATTATGCGTACAGTATTTTAATGTAGAGTCATTGAAGTCACCACACCCTGTCTCAAACAAAGGAGAAGGTTATCAGTGACCAGTACTAGAAGTAGAAGGCAGAAGTCTTGTGGTAGGGTTTCAAGCAGTTCAAAAAATTTTCACATCTTGCCTAATCATACTTAGAATGCAAATCCAGTGGAAGGAGCAAGGCAAGCATGACCTAATTTACTTACCGGTGTAACTCTTGTAAGTTATATCCAGATTTTTGAAGCTTTATGTTACAGGAGTAACATTTTCACATCAAATGAATTTTGAAACAAATAACCTACCATTTCAAGATATAATTAGCAAACTCAATATTATGGAACATGAATTATTTGGTCAGCCATGCATTATATGAAGAAGGAAAGGACAGCTGCCATTCTAAATTTACCTTATAAAGTGAAAATAGGTTCCATAGGCATGACTGCACAGTACTGCACTGTAAAAGAAATTTATTTTATACATGGTACAGTATGGTATAGTAATTTTAAATTCCATTTGTTGAAAATATTTTTAATGTTTTCGTATATTAATAATGTTAGTATATTAGTACCTTTTTGGGATCACCTGAAGAATCATCGCCCCAGCTTATTTCACCTGAAGATTAACTATCTTAATACTAACTTAACCTAACCTAAACCTATTCTATCCTAACCTAAATCTAACCTAACATATCCTAACCTAACCTCATCCTCCCAAAATAGTAAGTGCTTATTGTTTTATAAACCAAAAGAATTATTGTACTTGTTAAGCGGTTAAATATATACTGTAAGTTCAGGACTCGTCCCTTTGAACTGTGAGGCTCGTGAAGGGAGGCCGTAGTTGGAGGGTTTGCTAAATTTAAGTTATACTACACAAAATAGGTTGGGATCTAATGAATTTATAGTTTGTAAAGGTTTTAGTCTTGGCTTCAGTTTACTCAATATTTCCTAACTTAACAAAAATATTGTGGTCTCACTGAAGAGAGTTCTAATCTTTATCACACTAGATCTACCAGATGATAGGGTAATCATTTATCTTATCGTGGTACCTTCCAAACTCAGTATTACACATAAAACATAAGGTGACACTATTCACAGCAGTTGGTTTTGGTTAGTTTGCTGTGTGGTCTGGAGGCACACTTGGTACTGTACCTGTGAATGAGCATCAATATCTTTTGCTTTTTTATGTTACTGTATTTGGAGTTGATTCAGGAAACCTCAAGAGTGAAGTTACTTGGGAATGTACCATAAAACAGGTGCGGTAATACAGTATATTAAAATATTACAAGTGCATTAAAAAATTACTTGGCATTCTAAGTAATTTAGAAACTATTATTGACTGAAAAATTAAAATATTTGTTAATTTTTAGAAGCTAAAGCATTAAAGTACCTTCGAACCTTTCTTAATTTAACAACTTTGGGGACCAACCCTTGTTGTATTACTTGGAAGGTCCTTATACTTTTTTTGAATTCAGATTTTATTTTTTATTTTTTTCAGTAACTAAACTAGGTAATTTGGACAATACAAAAATCCAATTTAAATGGCATCGAGCCTGTCCAATATTTTCCTGTTGTCTACAATGGACTGGCTTCTATATTTCCTGTGTTGAGTGTTTCTTGATATGTGGAGTAGAAGGGGACAGAATTTTGTATGCCCTGTTCTGCACTTTTTCTAGGTGTTTCAATTGTATTAAGGGAGGAAGACTAGAAGGGAAACTTAGATGATCTTGGAAGTATGAATGTTGAATAAGCACTGAGGAGCTTGGGCGCGGGAGCTTTGGGCGACTTGGGACGACAGAGGAGGTGGAGATGAAAACTGGATAATTGCACTGATGTGTGTTTTCCAATTTAGTTTATCTATGGTGATTCTGAGGAGCTTAGTGAAGTCCACAACCTGGAATGTGTTGGGGCCCAAAGTAATGAAGGGAGGTGGGACATGGTCAGAGGAGAGGTTGATGTGCATAACCATGGTCTTGGTATGGTTGATGGTGACATGGTTGTACAGTAGTTGCTTGATTACTTATTGATAACTGTGTAGCTCTTACTCTTGTTAAGTGTTTCGATTAGTTTTGTAGAATTTTTTGTACATAATTTGTTTTAAATTCTTTGAGTCATACCCTAAGTATGCAGATTGTATTGCCACATTTGAAAAATCCTATATCTTTTTGTCTCAGTTTCAACACAATACAGTAACTTTTTTTCTTGTGAGGATGGGAGTTGTGCAGTTTAAGTGAATTTGAAGAAAGCTGTGTAATTGCACTTACGGTTGCAGCTTAAATGTATTTTGGCTCGATTATTTTGTTTTCGTGTCACAGATACAGTAAAGGCTTAATTTACTTATGTCTTTGTGTTCATTTTTCCAGAACTGGCCGGGTTTGGTCGGACGGTTTATCGGGGGCTGCACAAGATGCCGTTGGCAAGCCGTGCTCGGGTTTATGCAGATGTCAATGCCCACAGACCACATGAATATTGGGACTATGAATCTCATGTTATAGAATGGGGGTATGTATGTACTGTATATTTAATTTGTAAAGATGAGAAAAAATCAGAGGTTAAAGTTTGTGGTAAATTATTAGAGCAACTAGTTGTGAGTGTATCTGGTAGTAGAGATATCAGTACTGTATTGTACACCAGAGACAAAGTAGCTGGAGTTATATGCAGAAGTGTCAATATATATAGTAGCTAATAACTTAACATAATATTAGTTGAGGAGGAGTTTATAAGAGGGTAATATAAAGTGTGTTTTATTGTACTGTAAATGTGTTATTTTGTAGCAGTGTCTCAGAGCTTCATGGTATGTGTCATGTCTGATAGGGTTCATAATTGGAAGTCACACTTGTGTTGGGTGTGCGCTAGGTGATTGGACGGAAGCAGAGAAAAATTTTTTGTATGATTGAAACGAAGTAAAAATGTGGTGGAATTAAGGGAGGCATATATTGTATTATAAGTGAAGTAATTAAGGTGTATGGTCAAGTGTTGATTGATTATGTAAAGATACTAACCTTTTGTTACTGGGGAGCAGTAAAGGCTTTTTGGAAGGGAGTTATGGTGTAGAACAAATTTTTCTTCACACTTATTGTCGAGAATTTGTGGTGAGAAGTGTTCCTACATTTACTGACTTCAAAGAAAATACCTGTACAGTATATGATAATAATAAAGAGATACAGGGTAGATCTTTTGGAACTTTAGGTAAGTGTTTGTAGCAGTTACACTTAAAATAACGTTTGGTAAAGTGAATTATTATTTTATGAAAGTTTGGGTTCATTGTGGAATAAATTGAAGGATGATTAGTATTAATAGGAACTTACACAGGAATTGGTGCTTCTGTTAAAGTAATGGTGTTTCAAGGAGTGGTTTGAAAGCATGCAAAGATTGTAATGGTAATCATGTTGACAGAATGGAAGTTGTCGTAGTTATGGTGTGCTGATGATCCAGGTGGTCTTCATTTATCACAAGGGTTCTTTTTCTGAAAACCTTTGTGGCATATGAAATTGTGATATGAAAAATTAATTTTTCCTTAAGAAGCAGTGTATTAAGGGTAAGGGCTGCACTCCTTCCTTGCTATACTGTACAGTGTAAAATACGTATCTATTGTTGTTCCTTCATCATATTCACGTTGTTTAATAATGTGTAATTTCACCCGAAAAACTTTTAGTGCTTCTTGATATAAGTTATGCTTGGAGGCCTTTTCGCACTCCATACATGATTTGGGGTGATTTTTATAGCACAGTTTGTTATTCGCCAATGTTCCTAAAAATAGATTTGAGACAGAGTGTAACGTGGCAATGTTGGAATAAAGGGTAAACATCTCAATTGATATATATATATATATAGTTCATATGCTGGTAGCTGTTATATTTTAGTGTATTTTGTTCAAATTTTTATTTTATTTTTTATTTTTTTGTTAGGAGTAAAATACAGTAATTGTAGTAGTGGTTACTTGAAATTATTATTGAGAGAAAAGGTAAACCGCTCTTTGTTTGCCCTCACACTGCTACCACGTGGTCGCCCAAAAGTTGTGCCCACAACTGTTTGACGAATTGTGCTTTAGGAACAATTGTTACACACTATAACTGTTCTTGCTGCACGCACAAATGGCTTAACACAGTGGCTGCTCCAGAAGCAAACTGACATTGCATTCCATGCTTCGTAGTGCATCTAGAAGGCTCTTGTGGATTAATACTTAGCTGGAAGACATTTTCATAGGTAGGGAGTTTGAATCGCCCTCACCAGTACCCTCATCCACACATCCAAGAGCACACTGTTACCCACGAGCACACCACACTGGATGAAATGTAACAGTTGTGGGAACAACCTCCATGTGACTGGGTGAACTGACTGACTGAGGCTTGTTCAGACTCTTCTAATGATGCTCTATTTTCATGGACTGACAAATGTGTTTGGGAGGTGATGTATAATTTAATTGTGACAGTTGAAAATGAGTGAAGACCATTGATGGAGAGGAAAGAAGTTCTGCTACTAAAAGTAAAATCTGTAGCTAAATTCTGTTGTAAAATTTTTGGGGGGTTTGACTAAACTTTAGGTGTGTCTGTCCACAATCATAAGAGTCAAACTATCTTTACCTTATTGGTACCAAATATCACAGGGTCATTCAGGGGACCAATTTGTTACAGTACTTAATAATTAGAAGTAAATGCTATGCACAAGTTTAAGAAAAATAAATAAAAATTAGTTTCAGAAATAGTTTTCAATATCTAAAGTACATTTTATATTCTTTCAGACAACAAGATGATTATCAACTTGTAAGAAAACTTGGTCGAGGCAAATACTCAGAAGTTTTTGAGGCTGTAAACATCAACAACAATGAAAAATGTGTCGTCAAGATTCTCAAGGTAACTTGACTTGATGTGTTTGGAAGGATAGTAAAAATGTACCTGTTTTCAGATATACTGTACTTTATTGTCAATTACCAAAGACACGATATGGTGTGAGTTAGCATGGATTATGCATATTTTGTACTACAATTCATTTGGCTATGTACTGCATATGAAAATTGCAGAATAAAAATCTGTGGATTGGGTTTGGTGTACTGTAATGTATGTTTAGTCTTGATTGGAAATGTGAATGTTTCTTGTATCACACATCTATTTTAAGACATTCTGTAGACATTGAATTTAAAAGTATAGTGAGCCTTTACATGTGGAGGTGAAAAGATAGAAACTATCCAGCACAGCTATATACTGCAGTTCATTATCTCTTAATAATGTTAATTTTGTATTTTATTAGTGAAAATGAATTTTTTTTCTAAACTGCATATTGCTAATACAATTATGAAATGAATTGGTTAAAACCTGGAAAACTGCTTAGTGGCTCATATTTATTCCATGTCTTTTGGCTCAATCTTGTCCAGAGCATGGTTAGAACACAATACTGTATACTGTATTTACCTCTCTCAACCTAAAACATTTATGATACTGTGTCAAGATCATGGATCAAGATTAGAATTGTGACTAATGATAAAATATATTATATAAAAGATCAAACTTGGTGATAACACAGTCCACCCTAAGACTTATTAAACCAACTATCAGCACAAGAGTGTAATGCTGATAAAACTCAGGTTACTAGGAAAATATTAAAAACTGATACTATAGACATTTTATTAGGCTCCTGCATTTCATGATAGAATTAGCACTTTAATTCATTGCCATTGATGGTTCAATCACATGTCTTTTATAGATCTTGTGTATAATTTTGATTATGATAAAGAAATCATGCAGTCAATTCTATATCTCTAGGCTTCATTAGTAAAAGGACTTTGCATCAGAATCATCACTGTGGTCTTGGATATTATGCTATACCATTATCATTTTGTACTTTCAGCCTGTCAAGAAGAAGAAGATAAAGAGAGAAATAAAGATCTTGGAAAATCTGCGAGGTGGGACCAACATCATCACACTGCAGGCTGTAGTGAAAGATCCAGTTTCTCGAACGCCGGCACTGGTGTTTGAACATGTAAACAATACGGATTTCAAACAGCTATATCAGACACTTAATGACTTTGATATTAGATACTATCTATATGAGCTCATAAAGGTAAGAAATGTTGAAGTTAATTTTAATGAACAATCTTTGTTCCTTCCTGACTGTTTCTCTGTCATCCTACTGTTGTCCTGTTCAGTAGTATTGAACACCCCCATCTAATGAGGTATATGTTAGGAAAGCCCCAGTTTGAAATATAAATATAACAAGCTCTTAACATAAGTTGTCACAAATTTTCCTCAGACATTGATGTAATAGTTAATTGATGAAGATGTTTAATTTTCAAGAAGTAGAGTATTAGGTGTAGTTTTTATTCTTAAAGGTGGTTGCAGTTAGTGGTACTGTACCAGTTAGTACACTGAGTGACAATACCTGGAGATGGTCACGTGTCTGGCCACTTGGCACCTTAGCTCAAAAAGGCTTGTATAAAAAATGCAGGATTTATAGTTGTTTGTAGTTGTCTTATGCCTATTGACTTTATTCCATTATTTCAAGTTAACAGCAAAATTATTCTTTAAATAATTGCTAAATACAGTCTAGGTTGAATTTTAAGAATGATAACATTTGCCTCAGGTTGAGGATCCTTAGGGCCAATTGCAAGATCAGTCGTGGTGTTCGTAATACAATGGAGTAAAAAAATTTTGATTTTTCAAGATGGGCCATGGTGGTACCTGACCGTCGTTTGTTGTTACTACGTCATCGTAGTGTAGTCAGGTGTACCAACTGGCGGAAGACTGGGAGGTTGGTATGCTTGCACCCTCAAAACGTTGTCAGTGGCACGAAACGTTTACTCTTGCTACACGATTTACGAGTATGAAAAACTTGAATCCCAAGCTAAGGTGCACCTCATTTTCCTATTGTCTTGAATTATAAGCCAATTCTGGGAATGAAATACGATCACTTACAATGAATATAGGTAAATAAAGCCTGTGACAACCATGAAAATGTAGGAATAGAGTGTAATATCTGTTCCTTTCTTCTAACAATAAAGTAATGAGTTTGCCGCGAACTTGGGGTTGGGTCAGTGTAAATAAAGAGAACTATGGTCTGTTCCGCGGATGAAGTCGGTAGATTATAACAGTACAGTATAAGGTATTATAATTTTGCTATGACAGTGATGAACTCACTGTACAGATGAATTGGGATAAAATCTTGAAAAAATATCGCCGTAACTGTTAGTTTTCTATCAAACAGGAAATTATCTTTGTACCAAAAATTTTTACTTCCATATTATACAAGAATAAAGGCCAGTTATCTACAAGATATGAAAACTTGAGATAATGTTTCCTACTTGTCTCCACCTGATTATAGTAATGCAATAAATGCCCCATGAAAGAAAGCAAGACATGAACACCTTCCCAAAGTCAGGAGTAAAAATGTATACAATATGTTAAGACATGGACTAAACCAGCAGTTGGAGAAAAAAATCTGCTGTTTAAATGGTTTTTATTTGGAAAAATATTCCGTGTAAATACTGTATATGGATCCTCACCAGAGTCTTCATATAGTGGAAAGGAAGACATGTTAGATTAGTTTCATCTTGTGAGTAAATGTCATGGAACCCATATACAGTAGGTATATTCATGAAATTCTACCAACTAATCAGAGACTAATATAATGTTAAACATAGAACAAGATGATAATTAAATGGTTTAAAAATATCCTCAATACAGTCTGCAATGTTAATTGCAAATTATTCCTGCATTTTTAACATTTAATATAAACTGTAATAAAAATAAGGATAAAAATACAATGATAATGCTTATGTCAGAATATAGCCTTTATTAAAAGCAGGATATGTTATAATATATGGATGATCAAGAGTAAAGTATACAGTATTTTAAAGGAAAAATCATCCACAAATATATTAATACGTAATATCCATGTATGTATGCAGAGTGTAAAATTTCAAACAAAATTAATTAAGGCATATGTTATTTCTCCAAATGCATATTTTATGAAAATTCCAGAAACTGCATTTTTTCTGGTCTATGAGTAATTTGGGGATTTTACAGTCTCTCCAAATTTTTCTGTTCCGAGTCTGGGAACCAATTCCGAGGTTAGGTTAGGTAGCAAATTCCAAAATCTTTCCAGGAACTGGAAAAATTCCCCATCAATCATGATACCAAGATTTATTACTTAAGTATTGGTGAAAGGTGAAAAGTCAGCTGTATCTCCACCTGTAAGTGAAATAAAGTCATTAATATTGTGTTAGTTAAATTTGTGAATTCTGAAGCATCTTTATTTATGAAGGTTAATATTTATAAGTTTCCAACACCTACATATTGTGGGTATTTTTGTCTGTAAAAAAAAATTTAAAAATTCCAATTGAAACTCAAGTTTGTTTGGTTTGATAAGCAACACACTCATTTTTTTTCTAATGTATATTTTTATGTTGATTCCAAGACTTTGGTCCCTTTTTTGGAGAAATTCATAGAAAAAAAATTATAAGTCCTTTAAAACTTTAATGTTCTACATCAAAATGTTAACCTACCCTACCTAACTTAACCAAACTGGAAAACATTGGTCAACTTAAGATCCTAAAATTCCCTGGTTGACCGAAAAGGTAATAAGACCTTAAATTTCATTTATTTTGGAAGACATAAATCATTTTTGTTGGAATCATGGACATACAAAGCCAATATATCTGCACTTGATTTTACCACTGTCAATGGCAAAGTGAATAATTACCACCACTCCAAATGTTGCACAAAAAGTGGTAAGGCATTTCTTTCTTGCAATACATTGAGTCACTAAGGGAATTAAAAAAAAAGAACATAAATTTGTCACTGAATTTATCTTATTAGTAACAAATTGTGGTTAAACTGATGCACAAATGAAACATGCCTGGGAACTACCTGGCATATTTGGACTTATTAAAATATGAAATTTAGGCTACTAAGTATTTATACTAATGAAATAATTTTTTTTTGGTAGTGCTGGACGGTTATTAATTGCGCTCATTACAAAAAATTGGGTCTATATTATTTCTGATAGGGAAGTCAATCACCATCCCAGATGGAGCAGTTATCACCACTCTTCAAATAGACCACTTCCGACTTTTTTTAGCTTAATTTAAATTCCATACATTTCTACACATAAATTATTTGGATTAGATATTTTAAAGGCTTACCTTTTATGATGGTTAGGAAAATTTGGAGGATATAAGCGGTGATGAAGCGAGTAGAGGCTGGCGGATGTTCCTAAACAAACATGGAATTCTTTTAAAAAGAACACTAAAATTCTTCATTTGCTGTTTTATATGGAGGATATCTTATAAAAAATATTATTCCTTTGCAGATTTATACAATTTATGTGCATCCAATTCAATTTCGTTTCTTTTGGTTTCAAAATATAGTTCCATCGTAGTGGTCATCGGGCGGGGGTGCGAGTACCACGGAAATCTCCCACGTTCCAATAACGAATCGTAGATATATTTTTTTTAGCCCAGAACGCTTCTTGCAAACCAACCATGGGGCTACTGCAGCATGGTATACACCACGGAGCTTCTTGCAATTGGCCCTTAATCCAAAATTGAGAAAAAATTGAAGATTGAAGACTACAACTTTTTTTAATGGACCTGACCTACTGTATGTAAACATGAATGCATGTAGTTCTTGGTATCTTTTATGAAAGGCTATGGGTACTGCAGTAAATGTCAGTGATTGAGGATTGTGAAAAGCTGTAGATGTTAGTACAGGTTCAATATGTTAAACAATCACATGATAGGCCTGAGCCAAATCCTCATAACTGTGACTAAGTTTACAGTGAAACACTTAACTGCTGCAATAAGTTGCATTAGAATAGATAAATGCAGGTTAATTCTGCAGAACAACTGGTTGGGTTGATCGGTTAACCTTGCTGCTGCTGCTGCTAGCTCCACACATCTTAACTTTTAACCCACAAACTTATGTGTTCACCCTGATTACTGCTAATCTTAAGCCATAATTTCCTTCAGTTCCTTGGCCTTCCCCATTCCATATACTGTGTGATGTGCTTGTTGTGTTGTCACATCTTTTTGGCCACCAGTTTATTATTTCTTTTCACAGGCTTTAGACTACTGTCACAGTATGGGAATAATGCATCGAGATGTCAAACCCCACAATGTAATGATTGATCACGAGCATCGGAAATTGCGTCTCATAGATTGGGGGTTGGCGGAATTTTATCATCCTGGTCAAGAGTACAATGTTCGCGTGGCATCCAGATACTTCAAGGGTCCAGAGCTTCTTGTAGACTATCAGGTCAGTATTACTTAATCATAAGGTAATATGTGTGTTAAATGCACAGATTACCTTGGGCAACATAGTGGTTATGTTGGGATCACTGTCCAAAAGTCCACAAAATTTCCATATCCTGCTGTACAATCTTAGGAAGCATAAAATTAAAAAGAAAAATTAATTTCTCAGGTAGAATCTCATAAACATCCACAAATACCTATATTTTAATAAATTTATCATTTCAACACTTATCAGCTTATTGGCCATTTGGGCAATTGGTCTATTCTTTGTTACAAACTTTATTGTCCGGTGATTAGTATATGAGAAAACTGAAATACCTGAAGGAAACCTGCTATGTTTGGTAGGGTCACACTGGACAAACCCTTCCCACATGTGTTCGAGCCAGGACTAGAACCCATGACATCTTGACTGCTGTACCACCAGTCATGTTGCAAGGTAACAGAGTAATGGTAAGGGAGAAGTCATTATGAGATGTATTTAGTTATTTGGAGTAAAGTTACAGAATAAATTAAAGGAATTATTAACCACTTGCTTATGGGATCCACTCATTGCTGAATAAAACTGTCTGGCATTAGCCAAATAAAATATTAAAAGTGGCATCTCCATAGTGAAGGGGTTAAAGGCAGTAAAAGCATTTCATGAAGATGGTTAAGTCTTTTTCAGGGTACCTAGGGGAATTAAATGATTGATTTAGTTTTTTAAAGTAAACTGATGGGGTGTGTATGTGTATTATACTGCATCAGAAAGCTAGTTTGTGTATTGTTTATAGTTTATTGACAATTACTAAACATTGACACCTTTATTTCAGATGTATGATTACTCCCTTGATATGTGGTCGTTAGGATGTATGTTGGCAAGTATGATATTCCGTAAAGAACCCTTCTTCCATGGTCATGATAATTATGACCAATTGGTACGCATTGCAAAGGTGTTGGGGACCGAAGAACTGTACGAATATGTTGAGAAATATCAAATTGAACTAGATCCTAGGTTCAATGATATTCTTGGAAGGTAAGACATGAACTTTTCATTTTTTGTTATAATTTTGTGTTTGTATGTACTGAACTTTTCTTTAACCCAGGTCATGCATCCTTGAGCACCCATCAGCACCCATTTAGTTCTTTGCATTGGAGTACATAGTGGAATATGGGGATCAGTTTTTATATTGATTGTACTAGTATTTGTACTATTGGTGCATGTGGGAGTGAATGAAATTTTTTGCCAGCGCTCAGGGATGTAAGTTATTGTTATCCAGACTATGCATGTGAAGGGATTATTCATTAAAGTAAGGTTAGTAAAGAAATATAAAAATTATAGATGAACAGTCTTCATAGTATACTTGGGGGAAGTCTGTAGTAGAGTATCAATTAACCCCCGGAGCCTGAGACCCATATGTGCATGAAGACTTACGCTCAGCCTTGGAGGTTTTTGCTGAAAAATCGCTGAAAAAATATATATTATTATAGGGCTCATTTCACTGCCATGGAATTGTTTTATTAATTGTAATGGGGTCTCTTCTAGCGTAAAATTGTATGAAACCTTAAAAAATTGAAAATTCTTGAAATTTATGCCACTTTTTTTTAGTATACCTGTAAGTTGAAAAGGGAGGAAAATGTTTAGTAACATCTCGATTTCCATTCACAGTTTGCTTGTATTATGGTGTTCATTGATATGAACTATATACTAAAATAAAGAACAAAGTATGTAGAATATTGTGGTACAGGTTGTACCTCTCTAGTCCGGCATTCTGTGGTCCGGAAACTCCCGTGGTCCGGAACGATTTTAGTTTGTCCAATAGGTAGATAGGCAGTTTTTTTTTTTTACTTATCTGAATTATTATTATTATTACAGGAGTATTAAATTTTTGCCCCTCAGGCCCCAATGTGGGTCAGTGACCTATGCCCGGGTGGGCTAATCCCCTTAAAAAAAAAAAGCCGCGGGAAATTAAGGTTTGTTTACATCCGGCAGTTCGGCTGCTCTCTCTCTCTCTCTGCTTGTCTATACAGAGTACAACATTTAACCCTTCAATATATATGAGCAGTAAATAAGTGTTGCTTTCATATTCTTATGTAGAGTAATGACGATATATTTTCACATGTGCGCACTTACATACGAGCAGTCTCACTTTTTTTTTTACCATTAATGGTTAGCTACTTATATTGTTCCATTTATTAACATTAAATAACATTACAGGTACTTCAAGCAACCATATTCATTTTTTACATTAATTTTACTACAGCTAAACTCAGGGTCTTATTTTCTTCAGTTTTATATGTAGAACCAATCAGTCACTGGTTTCGTAAGCTTTAACATAAACAATGCCGGCAGCCGTCTTGTCTCCTCTAATATTCCACGTATTATTAATAAATTGTATTGTTAATTTTGCACACACGTACATTAATTCAATAAAAACAAATTCAGAAACATTAATTAAAATATATATGAACAGTAAATAAGTGTTGCTTTCATATTCTTATGTAAAGTAATGACGATATGTTTTCACGTGTGCGCATGCGCACTTACATATGCGATCTCTCTTTTTCTTTACCATTATCGTTCCCTACTTCTATTGTTCCATTTATTAACATTAAATAGCATTACTTAAAACAACAATATTAATTTTACTACAGCTACAACCAAGGTCTTATTTTCTTCAGTTTATATGTAGAACCAGTCAGTCACTGGTTTTGTAATCAACGAAAACAATGCTGTGTCATTTCCTCGTGTGTTTTAATATTCTACGTATTATTAATGAATTGTATTGCTCATTTTGCGCACATAAACATTAATTCAATAAAAAAGACATTCAGTGATAAACAATAATTAATCTTTTGTACATAAGAGAAATGACGCTGTTTACACAATTATGCATGTCGTCTGCACGTTGGCGGGCCGTTCAAACCCGTCGAAATTCAAGTTTCAGCCGTCAAATTTTTTATTAATTTTTTTGTGTTCCAATAAAATACGTTAAGAATTAGAAACTCGCGAAATTTGAGAAGCTACTATACGACATTTAACCCTTCAATATGTCTTCAAAGAGACCATGACGAAGAGAAAGTGGTGCTAGTGCTTCCAGGCATAAGCACAAGTCACTATCTATCCAGGAAAAGGGTGAATTTCCATGGTCCGGCAATTTCCATGGTCCGGCACCGGTCAGGTCCCGAGGTTGCCGGACTAGAGAGGTACAACCTGTATAACACAAAAACTCAGAATAATTAAAGCGACACTGGCTTCATGCTGCGCTACCTTGCATGCGATGACCAAGACCGTCTCGGGGAAGTTGATAAGGCCCACACAAAGAAAACGACGTCTGCCAAATGGCATCCAAAGTTCAGTCAGTTTCACAAAACTAGTTTTTGAGTTATTTGAAAATATAGCCCATTAGACGCCACGTTGGCGTCGTGAGGCTGGGCGGTAGTTTTTTCGCCTTTTATGTTAGGCTGAGAGGGTTAAGGAGGTGTGAAGGATAGGTGCGGAGGATATTTATTATGATTATTGCAGGACAGTATTATTATTGCACTGTATTCATCCATGGTGTGGCCCACTGAAAAATACATTGACCCTTTAACTTAGATAACCACAGAGTCTGCATCTTTTTTTTTTCTTTTTGCACGTCATACATTTTAACTTTCCACTTGCTCTGTTTTCCCTGGGACCGCAAGGGCTTCCACGTCTCTTGCGAACCCACGTGGCCAGTGTGTTTGTTTTGAATATTTTTTATTTCTTTATAAAGTTTTCTGTTATTCAAATTGTATGTAACTATTGTTTACCAACAGCAATCAACCCTAATATTTGGCTGAAAATGTAATGCTTGGGGTGAGAAAGTTAATTATTGTGCTTAGAATATTTGTTTTACATGAAATGGAAGTTAATTTTTATAGGTATACAGTATTGGTATTACGTTATCATCATTCTTGGAAATTTGAAAATTCTGTACCCAGGGGGGTGGGGTTCCCTTGGGTACATATTAATTGAATTCAAAGGGTTAAACATCAATAAATGCTCCAGGAGGACACAACACAGGAGAGGAGGGAGAGGGAATAGAAATAAACAAACACATGGATTTGGGTAAACCTTATTCAGTGGCTTCATCTTCCCATTGCTATATTTATTTAAATTATTGCTGGGAAAAGCTATATTCTCCATTTAGAATTAAGAGATTGAGTATTGTCTTCTGTAGATACTGTAGACATCTATTTTTTAGCACAGTTGTAAATGTCAAGTGCCTAATGCAAATACGTATTCACTAAATAGGAAAAAAACACAGGTACATCTGTGAGATCTATATGGCTGATACTATTGTCTGGAGAATGATGATAAAAGGCCGATTTGAGAGCTGCAGGAGTTCAGGCTGAGTTCCCCAAGGGTTGAACTCGCCACCTTCTGACCACCAGTTCTGTGATCGTTATCTTGAAGCTTTGATCTTATCTGACTCCATGATCAACCAATTATTTATGTATTTATGCTGTATGATTATTAAAAGTTTCCTCTTATTTTCAACCAAAATTTAAAAGAGAAAGTATTAAGAAAGTTCTGAGTAGAAGACAAACTATTTAAAGTGTATATATATATATATATATATATATATATATATATATATATATATATATATATATATATATATATATATATATATATATATATATATATATATATATATATTTTTTTTTTTTTTTTTTTTTTTTTTTCATATAAATCTACAATGAAAACGTGGATAGATAAATCTTGATAAAATCACACGGGAAAATGAAACAACGAATTACTGCAGCTTTAATCTTTATTCAGACATCTTCAGAGAGCAGCTGAGATTTGCTGAAATATATATATATATATATATATATATATATATATATATATATATATATATATATATATATATATATATATATATATATATATATATATATATATATATATATATATATATATTATCCTGTATTATTATTATTATTACCACTGAATGTATGATTATTGTTTGGCACAACCTCAGGTCTATTTGGTTGGGTTGTTGCTATTCCAATATGTATCTTGATAAAAAGATATGCATGTACTTCATTTTCATATGCAGTAAAAACTTTAACTTCTGTAATTTTACAGGCATTCACGAAAGCGATGGGAAAGGTTTGTCCATAGTGAAAATCAACACTTAGTATCTCCAGAAGCTCTTGATTTCTTGGACAAATTGCTACGTTATGACCACCAAGAGCGCTTGACTGCCCATGAAGCCATGGAACATCCTTATTTTTACCCTATCGTCAAGGAACAAGGTCGGCACATGAGCTCACCAACTCCAGCTCCTCCTGCATTGACTGGGGTGTCCGAGTAGAATTGGTATGTACTTTAATATTTTGTGTTGTTTCAGCTTTGTTTAATACAATATGACCTCAGAATCCTCTCCTCTATTACCCCATCTAAGTAGCAAAGTATTTTAAAGGTTAAAATTTCCAAGGTAAAACAGTGGAGTCGCCATAATTCATGGTTTAGGTACAGTTGCAGAAATGTGTCCCTACACCCCCATATCTGGGTTGAGGATTTTTTTTTTCCTGGGGGAGGGGGGTATTTTATGTAGTATTTATTAGCCTTGCACCAAATGAACTTAAATACCATAATATGGGAATTATGGTGAAAAAGCATACTGTAATTTTTAAAGGGGTCTCAGGGTGAGGAGCAGAGATGGAGGTGGAGGGTAGGAATCTGCTTCACAGCCCACCCACCCACCCTACTTCCCATCTCTCCCACTCTTCATTTTCCTTATTTATAGATTTTTGTTATATTTTCTCTATTTCCAAGTCACATTAGAGCATTGAAATTATATTTCCACAACGTTTATGGCTTTTATGTAAATAAACACTAGCCGACACCGCTCAGCCGTGAATTATGAATTCTGTACTGTATTTGACTGCAAATTTAAAAAAAAGTAGTAACCTGTAATAGAAGTACCCCCAATTTTTTTAATATGAATTAATTTTTTGCAAGTTATCATAACTCCGTATAAGGTTCAGTTTAGTGATGCGCAGCTATTAAGCTGAATGTTTATAATAAAATCATTCTACTACAACTGCTGGGTCTAATAAAAAGCAGTTAAATGTAAGTGACCTTAACTCCTATAATGTGGATTTCAAAGTTTAAAAAAAAAATAATTACAGGGTTACAGGGTGTATTCAATACCCTTTTCTCTTCTTAATGTGGCACTGAGTTTAGCAGTGCCATGGGGAAAAATAAAGTGCTGATTTATTATTAGTATCAATGTTTTATGATCATTTTCCATACTTATCACCAAAAAATGCAGCAGAGACCAGGAGCTGGGCACAGCTCTGGCAAGCTGGTTGCCATCAGGCATATGTAAGCAAAGTTTATGGCTGGATGCCCTTTATAGCTCTTACCCTTAGGGTGCGAGCAACTGGCAAGGTGGAACGACTTTGAGGAAATCAAAAGATTTTTGAAAAACTGGACTAAGGACATTATGAACAAAGTGCTTGGATAAAGGGCTATACAAATTGTTCAAACCAGGAAATGTCAGCAAAGAGGCACAATATGTTACTTACTCCTGACTTGTCTTAGCTGATATAGCATTCCACTCCTCGTGCATTGCTAGTATTCTTGCCACCACCAAACATTTCTTCACTTCCCAATTCCACACTTTCTCTTACAACTTCACACCTTTTTTGAACATAACTAGCATGTGAAATTTAAGAATACAAATAAATATTATTTTATTTTATTTTCCACATATTACATGAGAGTAAACAATAATTTGCACATTCAGGCAACTAGTTTAGTGGTTTACATAATTATATGGTGATTGTAGGAGAATGGTGATACATTGAAGGTTAATTTGTAGACTTTATATCATACAGGAGTGAGTGTTAGTGAATACATAATGAAATAAGTTAGTGAAGTAAGGATACTGGTAATAATAATACAAAATATTTTGGTATACTGTATTGTCATTATTACTGCTCAAGTGATTTACAAGTAATCTCTCCATTAGCTGGAACCTTTGATCCCCAGAACTCTCCATTACCTGGAGAGAAAAAAATGAGCATTGTGAGAAATTTGGGGAAAGCCTTTCCTTTCTGGGCATTTGAACGAATTTCTGAGAGATTGTGTCATGCGCCGATACATGCCAAGTACATGGGTGAGTAGGCTCAAGAGTGCTGTTGAGCTAGGATTGGCAACTACTGTCATGTGACTGCATAGAATGCCTATGATTGCCTGCTGTATCTTGCAGCCAATCTCAACAAATTCTAGCATCATGACACTCTTAGTTCATTGTCTGCTGCTATTGTACAAGCATCGTTTGTTTGCTGTTTTTGCATACAGTCTGTGTTGTCAAGAACAGTACTGTATATTACTGTACCAGGATATAATCAGCCAAGAATATTGTTTAGTGATTACAGTTACGTATACTGTACTGTACATCACAGAGTGAACAGCGTATAACTAGTGTAGGCTAGTGAGTAGAGGGTGTATGTACAATCCCTCCTTAATAGAGGGAGAAGAGTAACAGTTAGTCCCAGCTGCCACAGTATATGGTACAGGATAAAGCAAGCCATCTTGCATCATCATTCGGCCTGCCTGCATTACAAATCAGGTCGTAAGTCGAAAAGGCGAAAATAATACATAGAAATTCTAAAATGGGTGTCTCTTTTTTCTTCTCTGCACCACGAGAACTCTCACTTTTATGATTGCCAGCCATTTTAAAGGGAATTACAAACAAAAATTTTGTCAGTACACAGCGCGATCACTAACGTCGGGACTCGAAAATACGTAATGTGAAAAATATTTTATACGACCGTGGCCGTCATATGTCCGGGTTGTCGTAAGTCGAGGAGAGAATGTATTGTATACAGTAGAGTACTATTATATTTCTTATTTACAATATATTGTACGTGTACAGGAGTGTTTGCATAAATGAATGCAGGTGTCTCTCCGACTGCAGTCCGATGCGGAAACATTAACCAGTGCCTGGAAAAATTCTGGGGAATAGAAAAATCGTCTCAAACCCAGGACCGTTCTGCACCAATTATTCCGGCTAACTGGGAGATTACTGTGTGTGTGTGTTATATATATATATATATATATATATATATATATATATATATATATATATATATATATATATATATATATATATATATATATATATATATATATATATATATATATATATATATATATATATATATATATATATATATATATATATATATATATATATATATATATATATATATATATATATACAGTTTTACCCCGCTTAACGCGCTTTCACTTAACGCGTTTTCGCATATACGCGGTGCCTTGCCAAAGCTGAACTTTCACTTAACGCGGGTTTTTTCCACATATACGCGGTGAGTGTCCGGCTCGGATGCTATTTTTAGATTTTGCCCACGCGCCACCCACCCGCCCGCCCGCCTGCCTGCCTGCCTCTCCCTCCTCCTCCCTCCGCTTGGGTAAGCGGCGCGGTAAGGTTGCGCAGTGTGTGTCTTTGTTGCGTTATCACTGACGTCATATGACGTCTCGGACTGTGATTGGCCATGCAGCCCTACCCCCCTCTGCTGCTAGCTGTAATTGGCTTAAAGTATTATGACGTGACTACCCCGGGGAGGGAGGGAGGGAGGAGAGACGACGCTTGACCTAGCCGCGGCAGTTTCATCCCTCAAGGCCACGCCGGGTTAACGCGCATCCATTGTTCCGTAAAATGGCTTCCGCCGGACCACCACCCCCAGAGAGAAACCTTTCCTTACCTGGACCCAGCGGCACTAAACCAAAGAAGACACGACGTTCATTAAGCTACGAGCTGAAGTACCAAATTGTTCAAGATTTGGAGAAAGGAAGACGCCAAGTTGATCTCGCGCGCCAGCATGGCGTCAACGAATCTACGATTCGTACAATAAAGAAGGATGCAGCCAAGATAAAGGAGCACATGAAGATCACAAAGTCTGCAGGTGCTTCATCTATCAGGTATTGCCAGAACAGGGTGCTGGCAAAAGTGGAAACTTTGCTGGTGAGTTATTTGGTGCGTCAGGCGCGACGCAACATGGCGGTGGACACGCGCTCAGTGCAGGAGTACGCACGTGAGCTATACGCAGCAGTGACACGTAAACTGGGAATTGCAGAGCCCAAACCCTTCAATGCTTCCCATGGTTGGCTGCATAGGTTTAAGAGGAGGAACAAGGTCACCAACATCAGCATTGTTGGTGAGGAAGCGAGTGCTGACCGTGCGGCGGCTAGAGATTTTCCTCCGTTTTTACGTGAGATTATGGAGGAAGGACAGTACAGTGACGACCAGGTGTTTAACATGGACGAATCTGGTCTTTTCTGGAAAAAGTTACCTTCCAAGACCTTCGTTGTCCAGTCTGCGAGCAAGGTAAGGGGCCGGAAGATGCAGAAGGAACGCATCACCGTCCTGTTTACCACCAATGCCTCCGGTACCTGTAAACCAAAGTTATCGGTGATTCACAAAGCCCGCAAGCCGCACGCCTACAAGAATATGGACATGAACAAGCTTAATGTCCACTGGCTAACCGCACGTAAGGCGTGGATGTCCTCTTCTCTGTCCCTCTTCTGGTTTGACAACTGTTTTGTTCCTGACGTGCAGAAATTCTGCGAGCAACAGAATGTTCCTTTCAATATTTTGTTGCTCCTTGACAACGCACCTGGACACTCGCCCCTACTTATGGATCGTCACCCCAACGTAAAAGTGGTCTTCCTTCCTCCCAACACTACGTCATTAATCCAGCCCATGGACCAGGAGTTAATCTGCAATGTTAAAGCTGCATACTCGGCAAAGAAATTCAAGCTCCTGAACGACTCTACCAACACCAAGGATGAGTTGCGTAAGCTGGGTGACACCGACAGCGAGAGTAAAAGCGACGAGGACAAGGAACAAGAGGCGGCGACTCAAGAACTTCTCGTCAAACAATTTTGGAAGAAGTTTAACGTCAAACAAGCTGTAGACTTCTTGGTGGAGGCATGGGATCTGCTGACTATTGCTACGATTCGTCACGCATGGAGACATGTGTTGCATGGCATACCAGGTGAGAGGAGGAGTGAACCTGTGACTGGTCAGGTTCAGACTGTTGCAGTAGCAGTGGACCTTGCCAGAGAAGCTGCGCTCAGTATTACAGCTGAAGGCTTCTCCGAGACCACCAACGAAGACATCATGGAGGTGATCAGAGATCCTGAAGTGACTGCCGACGAGATGTTGGAAGAAGAACCCGCCAGTGAAGAGGAGGAAGAAGGTGCGTCATTCTCCGAAGAACCTAGTTTAAGTCATAGTGATATTAAGTGTCTCATAGAGTTAACAGAAAAAATTAAGTCCATCGTTTCCTGCGACACTGACGATGAACGCCATGACGTCTTCCATACCCGACTGGTGCAGGCTATGGAGCCGTACATCACGGTGTATCAATGACAACATCAAAGCCAGCCGTCAGCAAAGCATAACCGAGTTCTTCGCCCGCAACCCACCACAGCCAGCCCAAGCCAGTGATAGTGAAGTTGATTTTGAGGGATTTGTCAGGGAAGCCATGACAACTGTAAGTGACAGTGATATTGATTCACCTAGTAATGGTGATTCACCTAGTAATGGTGATTCACCTGAGGGGCAGTAATC